TGTAGGAACAACAAATGAAATGTGATTAGTCTCTAATTCAACTTAAATCTTATATTGAATCCAAATTCGGTCTTTGAAGGCAACCATAGCAGTGAGCGACGAAAGAAGGGGCGTATGGAGGAAAGGCAAGCCAAGAAGATCGAACGTAAAGGGAGAAAAAGGTAAGGACATATTGCGAAGAAAGGAACTAACAAAGAGTGGGCCGCAAGGTAACTAACAAAGACTAAAACGGGGATTATCAATGCTTTGCTGATTCAGAAGTAGTTCCCTAAATAATTGTAGAGGTGAATGAAATTACCTCTTACGCGATGACGTTAATACAAATGACGGAGCAATGTTGGGAAAGAGAGAAAAGAACAAAGATGGGGACCCCTGGAAAAACCTTACCGCAACCCATATCCACCAACCCAAATTCCATATTGATTAATGGACGGAATTTGACGCCGCCCAGAACAGAGACAGGTGAGCTAGCCCAGCTGAATTATTTCCGCTACGGCGTCACACCAGAATTTAGCATTTTAAGCGAATTACGAACAATTTTGTGAGTCTGTGTTCTCGATATATTGATGTAACTGAGATCATACAGCAGAAAACAATTTTTAAAAAAATCTTGCTTTTGTGAAAAAATTGCTTTGGGGGATTTTATTTAAAAAGGGAAAATTTGTTTGTACATAGATATGTGATAACAATTACGTTTACTCATTCAGTTTATTATAAGATCTAAAATACAACGAGAGAACTATATTTTTCCAGACGGGACGTTCAATTGTGTCCACTTGGGAGGCAATCATATTAATGCAATAACTTAAATGAAAGGGGCACACAGAAGTGTAAATGAAAGACTGAGGAATCATGTTCGTCCTTGAGGTACGGAGCGCGTGGTCTATTGCGCCCACTCTCGCCGCGTGGACGCGGGAGCGGGACTGGTCGCGAGGGAGCGAGCGGGTGCGGCGTCGCGCCAGACGGCGGCGGACGCCGACCCGCAAACACGACGCGACGTTTCCCTTCGAGTGTTTGCGCCCGCCCGGCGCCGCGCGAAAGCGGTGGCGGTGCCTGGGGAACGCGGGCGGAATTAGAGACGGCGGTGGTGGTGGCGACGGCGACGGCAGGTCATGGAGGCAGCGGTAGCGGCGGCGGCGGGCTTTGTCGGCTGGTGGCGGCGGCGGGGCGGAGCAATGGTGGAGCAGGCAGGAGCTGCGGGGAAGTAGACACGGCAAGTGGCGGTGGCCAGCAGCGCGGCGGCAGGCGCGGTGGCGCGCGGCGGGTGGCGACGGCGGGTGGCGCGGCGGGTAAGCGGTGGCAGGCGGCGGCGGGCGCGATGACGGCGGCGGGTGGCGGCGAGGCGGGTGGCGGGGCTGGTGGCGGCGGCGGGTAGCTCGTGGCGGGCGGCGGCGGCGGGCTGGGCGGCGTGCGGGTGGCGGCGGGCGCGGCAGTGGCGGAGGATCAGAGTGAGGGTGGCCCGCGGGGACAGAGCGCGAGGGGCCAGCGAGGACTTTGAAAGAGCACGCGAGGGCGGACGAGCAGTCGTCACGACTCACGAGCCCATTGCGACAAAACACAGCTTGCTCAACGTTTGACCGGCTTGCGTGGCTCAACAGTTGCTGCGCCTCTGGCCGAGAGGGCCAGAGTCCTGACGGTGGCAGGATTTTCGACACTAACTTCATAACTGACTGGACAAGTATTCTGAATGCAGGCTGCTCTGATCGGTACTTTTCCGTGGTTTGTCTGATCTACACCAGACGAAAGCCCGAGCAGTACCCTAACGAACGGGCCCAAGACCGCGCGCGATCTTTCCTTCCCCTTCCTTGTCCTATCCTCACCCCTTACTTACACACACTAACACTAATAAACACTACACTACCACATATGTCGGGAGGTTACAGCAATGGCTGGCTGGGGCTGTCCCCCGCTGATTGGGGAAAATCCCGCAAGCCGACGTATAGATGCCCCCTCGCACGATAAAAAATGGACTACAGTTGCGATATCATGACCATTGCAGTTGGCGAAACCGGAATTGCTAATCAATTATTCTTAACGTTTGACCCGCCAATGATTGGTGTTGTGAAGCATTAGGCTTTCGCGGTCTGGGGCACGTGACTTTTCTGGGCTGTTGGGGTGACACCGCGTGGATGGCAATATTAGCGGCGTTTGATTTTTGGTGGTTTGTACACGCACTCTAGTGTGAAGAAAGCCGCCTCATGGTGGTTCAAATGTTGGCAACTGAACGTTCAATGTGGCGCGACGCTGAGTTTCTTCGCTTCGCCTACCATGTTGTGGTCTTTGCACTCCAGCCCTGAAGAAGACCACGACATGTGTGCGAAACTTCGGTCTGCGACACGACGTCAGTTCGACATCGGAGAGCGTTTTCGACGATTGGTCTCGTAAGTGAGCCAGAGATGAGGTGGCACGATGTTGCTTCCAGAATATCAATTTATATCTTTTAACGCCCTTTTAAAGAAGCTGTTTGTTCATGTGTGATTTCCACTCTAGGGTAGGATTTTTTTGCCAATGTTGATATGATATTTAAAACAACTGAAGTAAGGCTGAGCCAGTTTCAGTGATAAAAAAAGTGAATCAGTCGTAACTAGGACGCATAGAGAATGCAGCGTTGACATTCTGTTTCAATTTCAAATATATCATGCATGCTAAATTTGCAATTTACGATGTATTATTCAGAACGCTTCATATCATTTTAATATGAAATACTGATTGTCAAGAGAGCGGTAACTCGTAATTAATATAAAGAAAGTGAATAATGTAATATACAACGCTTTTAAGAGTTAGAATTGTTCTCTGTTTTGAAAGGATTTTCGTCAGATTCCGAAAGAAGATCTACAACCAAAAGTGGGAATATTGTCTTGAGCATGTGTTCAGATATGTGACCGATGATGTAAAATACTACACTTTTAATTGCGAGAAAACATACTGTGCAAAATAGGAATTATCTTTAAAGTGAGAGGTTTAGAACAAAAATTGACAAGTATATTTCTTTAATCATTTTCGTAACGTGAAACGTGACAGTCTAGCATGAAGTAATAAGGCTAAATACAAGGGTGGCCCCAAAACAGAATTTTAAAAAAAGCTGCGTTTGCTAGAGATTGCCTGTGAAGACGTAAAGAGTTTTTGAGTGTAAACGTTTTTCAAACGCAAATTCGTAGAAGTTCAGATTCACTTTTCAGGATTCGACTACACATTTTCTTTATGGCGCCAACATCGTGTTTTTCACGACGTAGCGTTGTGAACGTCTCCGATCTACGCCGCAACAGCATTTAACAGTTATCTCGAAAACAAACAAACACACACACTCGCTATTCAAGCTCTTTCCTCAGCGCACAACAGAAGGCCTCCGCCTCTTTCTTCCCTCCGTAAACACAGCGGAACGAAATGTCACCGCTGCATAGAGGCGCACTGTCATCTCGAAAACAATTCCACACAATTCCCTGAGAAACGTTTTCGCTCATCGTGACTGCCCCCTCCCGGGCGTTGACGGCAGTGGCACGCGCCTAATTTAAACGTTTAGGCAGTTGTTTCCGTAGGCGGGCCCCGTTGCTTCTGCTGACCCGAGACGACAGCCTTTCTCTTCCCGACGCGCACGCTGTCTGTCAGTACGCGCCTCCGCAGGTGAGCGGCACAAGGGCGGGGATTGGTTGATTAGTGATTCCGGGGGCTTCAACTGCTAAGGTCGTTAGCATCGTAAATGTAGTGCACGTTTTTCGCGGAAGGTGGCAGAGATCATTCTCGCTGGATGGTGAGATTCGGCTCCGGCCGTCGGTTAACGAGGTTTCCCTGAACCAGGGATCTCCCAAAAGAGGGCACCGTCCCAGCTGGAACAAGCTCTGAGCTCCCGACTGGTTTCTCGGCATGTTGTAGTGTAGTGAATGTAAGTGTGTGTAAGTAAGGAGTAAGGATAGGATAAGGAAGGGGAAGGAAAGATCGCGCGCTGTCCGTGGCCCGTTTGTTAGGGTACTGCTCCGGCATTCGTCTGATGTTGATCGGAGAAACCACAGAAAACTACCAGTAACTTCACTCGTAACCTTGCTGTGTAGGTAGTGTGGAAAATGCTGCCACCGTGGCGAGTATAACCCTAGGACCTCCCGGTCAGAGGCACTACAGTGACCTCAATGGATGCCCTAAGACAAGGACGGTGGAAGAGTGTCTCTGAAACCCGCGCGGTTGTGACAACAGCGATTCGTCTTCGCGCCACGCCCCTCGCCCTCCCCCGCGGCGCCGCCGCTGCCGCCGCCGTGGAAACAAAGCAGAGCGCGGGAGCGTTCTCGGCTTCCCGGGGATCTCGGGCCTCACCTGTCGCCCCCTCCCCTCCCCTCCCCTCCTCCCCGCCCCTCCCCTCGCGAAGTTGCGCGTACGCCGCTTCTCCGTGTGTTTACTTAGCAAGTTGCCGCGTTGCGCGAAGCCCTGCACGGCGTCGCCGCGGCGTTTCCGCCTCCTAAACCCCCCGCGCCCCTCCGCCCCTCCGGGGAATTTCGCACAGAGTGCTGCTGCGAAGCTACGACGTGTTAGCGCAATCTGCAAAATCGATCAGGACGTCCTAAGGAGAAGGTGGAGGAGTTGTGTAGAGTTCGTGCCGTACAGAAAGAAAACAAGAGCTTTGTGTGTGTGTGTGTGGGTGTTTTCGTTGTCTTTCCGACGCGACGACGAGATACAAAACAGGCACCTTTCGGCGTATCCTGCGAGAGGAAAGCTATTTTACTGGAAAACGTGTTAGAAACTGCAATCTGGAAAGTAAACCACGAGAAACTACATGTCGCCCCTCTCCGATATCATCTATACCTGATTTCTTTAAAGAACCCGCGAATGGGTTGAAATTAAATTATAATCACTGAATAGATGGATACTAAACGAATGTACTCACAATAAAAAAATAATTATTCCATTTTCTGCTATAAATATATCATATTTTAATGACGTATTATACATTTCAAAGAAGGACATTATATTTGATGTGTCACAGTAGATAGGACAAGACAAAATAGTATTCAAACTCACTTTTTCTGCTGGTCCAAACACAGTCGGGAACATTGCAGGTACGGCACCGCTTTGAAGTTTTGTGCAACTAGGTCCTGTAACCACAACAAACACAATGGTTGTTTGCATACCCTGTCACATCCCATTAAAACCAAAGGCACGCCTTATGTGTGCAGGGAAAACGACAAACGTTACATTACAGGTAGCTTCACAGTCAACAGCCAATGCGGTTCCATTCAGGTTTCCTCTCACATTTTGACTTCTGCACGTAATAGAAATAGTTCCGAAATCCGGCATGGGCGTACCTTGGAGGCATAGTTTGAGAGGGCATAATTAAAATCCATTAAATTCTATAATTTCTGTAAGCGTTATTTACAAGAGTTCGTGTTCAATTACACATTCGAAAGAGGTCACGATTTTCAGCCATTAACTGTTCATAACCCCTATCATTAAAATTGTTTCAATTTTTATCGTAATTATAAAGTTATACACATTACATAATCGAACTTTTATTTGCTATAGTATATACAAATGTCTTGTATTTGTATTTTTATTTATTTTTAAAAATGATTTTTTTACTTATTTTGTTTCAGGTATGTAAGCTGCTAGTCCTGGTGCAGTTTGAGCCGCACGTAGCACGTAAGTTAGAGAGTGTTAAAGTATGCCTTTAAATGTCCCAGTTATCAAAAGCAACCTACACTATCGCACTGAAAATCGTTTCAGCTACTGTTTTCACAAAATCCATGATTTATCCATTAAATTCCAGAGTTATCCTCCCGTCAATTAAATTCCTTTTCGGAAGATTCCGAAAAGCTGATAGATAATGTTCACATTATGCAAAATAAATTAATAAAGTCTGATGTACGGACAATTTCGAAGCATACTCCCGACTTAAGGTGGATGAAGTGCGTATTAGACACCACGAGGTAGCCAGGGGCATGAGGAATGAACGTCAGTAATAAGCAGGGATCAGATTGCTAGTGGAAAGTTTCTAAGGCTAGTGGGAGACATACTGCGTAGTTCTAAATTTATTTTTATACCATACCAGCTAAACTGACCTAACCTGTGTAGCTCAGTTGAGGCTCCGCTATTTATTTCTGAGATGGGACGACGCGGCTCTAGCCTTCGCCATTTGCAATTTACATACAAGAACTTTGAGTCTATGCAACGTATATTTTCAACGCAGTTTTCTGTCAAAGTATTTCTCTCGAACATAAAGTACGCCTCACTCTCGGCTTTGGCTAATAGGAACATAGCCGTATGAAGTCCAAATAATCTGTTCATGTTCATCGATTTATCTTTTTTTTTTTTTTTTTGTAATGTGCGAATTACCTTGGGTGTGGAGATCCTCGTCGATTAAAAGGAAGGCAAGGATCGAAAAAAGGAGGACTTTGGTGAAAAAAAATAGCTCATAATATTTTGAATAACAATGTGACACCTTGCTTGTAGCGTTACACGTATTTTTATGGATGTATTCTGACTGAAGTATTAAGTACTGAGACATGCCAAAATAAGGAAACCCTTATTTGAAACGGAGGTGTAGGTTCCAGCTACACAAATTTCGCTTTCAGCTTCAGAATCCTACCTTCCCATTTTTAATGCTGGATATTGGTGAGTAGGTCTCAGTTCAATACATTCCCCGCGGCTTTCCGTTTCGGCATTTTAAGATATCACAAATAGCGAGTCTATGTCTAACAAAACAAAAAAAACGTGTGCGTTTTCTTCTTCCATAGAATCAACAACAGTTCCCAAAATTACTAACAAGAATGAGTGAATCTCTTGATTTGCACAGAGATAATATTCCTGTGATAGTGCTGCCACCTACAAGAACATTAGTGTAAACAGGAGTCGAAATAATAATTTCAAAATATCTCGCTCTCAGAAAAAGTTGCAAAAAGACGAACATTTCGTATCTTTTAAAAACTCCGCCCTGACCCGGAAATACGTATAAAAATGAGGTCATATCCCGATAGAAGAGGACATCTGGTAACCGTAGAATTACCCGGCCATTCCTAGTCATATTATAGTAAGATTAGTCATGTATCTAACTTCAGCCCTAACATACCTCATAAGTTGCGGCTCTTCGATCGCTAGCTTGGCAACATCGACATCTGCGCGCGGTTCTGCCGTATTTGTTTGCGCAAAGCCGGCGCGGTGACATTTATTACGCAACTTCTCATTTCCAGTTGCCAACAGAGCATCTGCGCTGCAGCATAAGTCCTCCACACGACGCTGAGTCAATACCATTCGCAAACAGAAGCTGCCGCATCCTGCAGCGTCGTCCGCTAGGCAAGGTCACTATTGCCTCGGAGACATTTCGGAGGTCTTTGCCCTTTTATGAGGGGTTCGCAGCAACGTGGCCGTCTGGAAGGCGTCTTCGCGATGAGTAAACTTTCTGCGCTGGCGCATTGTAAGATAGGTATTTCAAGTAAAGACGTGTAACGTCTTTGTGACCGAGTTGCCGTGCTCAGTGTTGTGTATGCCTTTCGTCTAAGCTCCCTTCTAACCTATATAACCTTTATTCCTATTCGCGGAAGTAGTAATGTTATAGCGTCTGCGTCAAATTGTTTACTCAGACTGCAATAAAATTACAATAATTTTTTAGACGTTCGCAGAAGTAGAATTATTTTTAAATTTTAACTGAAGGTATTTAAGATCAGAAAAAGGGACGACAATTGTCTATGAAGATTTTATATTTAGTAAGTAAGGGCAATTCTACGACCGAAATTCAAAATTATACAAAAGAATGCGCCAGAACTTATCCGCTTACGCAATGACACTGGTATCTCTCTCTCTCCCTCCCTCTCTCTTAATATCTATATATTGTCTGAGTTGAGCATAAGCTGTTCTATAAAAGATAAAAGTTCAATGTGTGTGCTCCGAAATGTCAGTAGCACCACATTGCGTCAATCGTCAGGGGCATTTCTAATTTGAGCGTGAGAACCATCATGTTCAATTTAAATGAAGAACCCCGTGTCACAACCAAGGATTGAGGGTTAGGTAAATTTGCGTGATTGATAGTAGCGTGCACGAAATAAAATTATAAGTTACCAAGCTATCCAAGTTACCTTTGTTACCAGTCGAGGCATTTATTGCTGTGTTTGAGCTGGTCTCTTGCATTTTGCTGATGTTCCAAAACAATGTTTACTATTATGTTCCAAAACAATGTATTCGTACAAGAGCACCCTTCCATATACCTGTTTTTGAATGCTTATTTACCAAACAAAAGTCCTCAAATCATCTTCTACTTCTAAAACCTAAAAGCACTCCTGTTCTCAACGTCAATACTATTTAATCTATGTTATAGTGGTTCATTATGAACCAATTATTGCGCCGCAATTATACAGAAAAGGCTGGCTTCCCGCACAATTGAATTTGAGACGCATGCAATATGGAATATGTACCAACTTCTTACCCAATTAAGCACCAAGAGAAAAGCCAATTACTCTTATCAGACACGGCACCTTCCCTTTGTTTTTTACAATTTCGCATGGCACTTTTGCATTTCAATGTAATTTGGAAATTGGTAAAGGTTTTCGTCTTTTGTTAAATTAACGATCAGACGAAAATAACTCTCGGCAGCAGTTTGGAAATTATCTTGTTACGATAAATACTACTGATTGTAGGTTGAGTTTTACAAATTAACGTTAAATGTAATGAGTCATGCAACATAAGGTATAAGATAATACGCTTAATTAAATACGCCATAATGAACCTTTAATAGGTCGTAACGACAGCCATTTTGTGTTCTTCGCTGCTGTACATTTCCAATTGCTACTAGAGTGTGGAATAACCATTATAGCAGCAATTATTGCAGTGTTAGAATTACATCGATCAACATTTAAACCAGGAATATTCTGAAAGTATACTACGTAAAACTTCATCCTTGCACAAGAAAGAAAAAAAATAGGAAGAAACAGCCTAAGAGGAAAGAAAACAAGATTGAAATAAGAAAAAATATAGTAGTTTCAAGTTTCAAAAAATAAGGTCTCCTAATTGTGGCATATAGTACCCTCCAAAACCAAAAATATTCGTTGATTGCAGCATCAGCTGAGGAGTTGGAGTTTTCACACATCGGTGCAACAACAGGGATCCGTTTACAGCGCTGACCGTCTCAGGGAACGTAGGAATGTAGGATAAAAATTGGAATGTAAATATTCCAGAATGACAAACCATATGGAACAGAACAAGACACCCAATCTAAACCTGTATGCCTCATTAATACCAAATTGAATATACTATTCGTATCGCTACAGAAAGTTAGTAAAAAATGTAAGAAAACTAATGAAGTGATCTAAAGTTTTCAGATTATAAAAACAGCAATTTTACGAGGTGTAGTACTCTATCATAAAACTGCTTCGATTGCATCATTCGTCCGTGAGCAGGGGAATTCGCGCTTTGCTCGAAGGCCAGGAAGCGGCAGCGCAGAGGTTATGAGAGAGGGGGGAACGTGGGAGCTCCGATGACTAAAAGATAAAACACAGATTGATTCAAAATTATCAAAATGAATGGATTTCTCGAATTCTTCGGATTGATCTGTGTGTCTTGCTTGAGACTATACATGCATCCACACGATGCCCGGCCGGCCATAGTTGACGTGTCATTGTGTATCAGATACCCTAGCCAAGGTTGCTTGTGATGTTCGTTATATCGAACTGAATCATACTTCTCTACACCTATGGATATCTTGCGGATCAATAAGTGTAGGAACATTACAAATAATTCTAAAGTGTTGCCTTCAAAAAAATGTTTCTGAGTTTTATTTTATTTGAAAATTCATTGTATTTTATCAGTTTATTTTACAATGTCTTGTTAGTTGGTGATAAATATTGTTTTAAAAATAAAACGTAATATTTTATTTGCTTCCGATAATCCAACCTATTTGGGGGTTTCCGTACTTCCAGATACATAGACGATGGATTGTAGCGAGGGTATACGTAAAATTGTGATCAAAAATTTCGGTATTATCAAGGCCTCTTTTATAGGCCCCGAACCCTAAACCGCTGATTGCGGCATCCGCCACGCCGGTGCGCTTTGCTACGAGGGGGGCAGTCGCGTGCCCCGCGGTGGGGAGGGGTGAGGTTCGGCGGGGGCGTGGGAGCGCGGCGTGGGAGGCGCGAGGGCCTAATGGAGACGTAAGCGTTGTAACGAGGCGTAACGTTGCGAGAGCTGCCTGCCACTTCTCGCGCGGTGAAGCAACGCAGGTGTGCGAGCCGGGGCCTGAGCGCGGATCAAGTTGCTTGCGATGACAAATGGGCGACGGTTTTGGAAATCGTTCATAATGGGTGAAACTAGGATGTTACTCAAGTAACGTACTTACGTGGAGACGATGGGATGTCTTACTATTTATTTTCAGACAAAAAATATTGGTCAGCAAGGCATTCTTAAGGAGAAAAGAAGTGACGGTAGGGTGTAGTTAGTTTGTAAGGGTCACACTTGCAGGAGATAATTTGCCTAACAGTGAAGTAATAGTATCGTAAATTGTTTTGTAATTAACCCACACGTCGAGAGTAGAATTGCATGTTTTGACAACAAAGGGCAGGATACATAGAAAAAGCATCAAAACTATGTACAGATATAATTGTACTTCATTCCAAAACATACGTGTTTAGAATGAGACATTAAAATTACCTCTACATCGAGTTTAAAAAGTATTTTTGACAGGATCTTGTGCCACTCGGTACGTAAAATCTGCCAAGACTTACAATCTATCGTATCCTCCTATACATGTCGTTACTAATTCCATCAGAGACCTGTTCAACAATTCCTGCAGTCTTTCTCCCTTCCACATCTCGTATGAAAGTGAATGTTCTTCCCCCACATACGTCCTCGTCCACACATACGTCCTCGTCCACACATACGTCCTCGTCCACACATACGTCCTCGTCCACACATATTTAATTGTCCACACTTCCACCCGCTTCGGCTCCTACACATTCCGCATGCAGCAATCCCTTTCAACAGTTCATTCCCTCTCTCTCTTCCGAATTCTGTTGCTACGGGAGCCTCTCTTACCCGTCGTCCACTACCTGAACCACACTGGCCCCGCATCCCGCGCAGAGGGCGCCGCTCGTCCCTGATCGCATTGGGCGCGGGGGTTCCCCACGGCTGCGCGCGCTCCTCGGGGGCAGCGGCGCTGCGTCGTCGCGCATAAATTACCAGCCCTCGACCGCCGCCGCGCCGCGCCGCGTCACAAATCCCCTTGTAAATTTTAACCGCCCACCCGTCCGTTTCAATCTACTACAAATACCGCGCGCTGTTTCGGGTAGAGCACCTGCCCCGCCCGCGGCTTCCATTCGCGCGCCTGTATGCGCCGCGCTGCTCGTAACGTATTGACAACGTTGCGGCGATTGTTAAAAATTGTCGGTTTAGCTGTTGACTGCGCGAGTGACAAATGGCTGGGTTTCAGTGCGTGAGCGGTGGCTGGCTGTGAATAGTGCGCCGGTAGGATTTTGTTGTTTTCGAATCCAGATGCGTCTAGCCTATTCAAAAATAGTTTTCATTAATGCCGTGCAGAATTCCTGTGACAAGCTCCATGTTGTTAATAAGCTGAATAGAGGGAAATGAAACGAATAGGCAGTCGTGTTGTAACTGTCAAATCAAGAGTGTTTTCACTCGTTACTTTTCAATCAGAAGCTTGATTTCATTTTCTGCCATAAAAATTAGTACAATGTCATGAATGGAAATAATCACTTAATATTTTCGATAGGTCTGTTTCCATCTTTGATAGTTTAACGAAGCGAAAATGTCTCGAGAAAAGGGAATTGCTACACGAGACATTCCTAAATGCTAAATGGGGATGATGTACGGCATGGGACGGTGCCTCAGTTCGAAGTGCGGAACTAAACGACAAAGCACGAAACTGGGTTGTTGCGTCGTAACGCTGATGGAGATAAAAACTCGGAACGTAAATGTTTGCCAAAAGGATGTTGTCGGACGCTTTTGCTGAAAGAGGCGACGGTAAATTTTTGACGAAGCGCTGGAAGTGAAGCGAGCTCCTGCAAATGTGGGTGGCATTAGGAAGAGGTGCTCATACTGCGAGAAATACAAGAGTTTGAGGATAGAACTGAAATGCGGTAGTTTACGGCAGACAATGCGACTGTGAAAATGGTAACAGGTGATAAACGGCATATAGAGGAGGCGATAGGTAAATGGCGGCGACATAAAAGTGTCTGCGGTGACAAACGGGGAAAATGGAGATTTTTGGGCGAACAGCGCCAGAGCGAAAATATGATTGCGTGTGAAAT